CACTCCCTGGGGCTGGAGGCTTATGGGAAGCTCAGCACAGCTCATTATTCCCAGCTGAGAGTGAGCCAGCCAGCAGGGTGCAATCCTGCAAACAGCCCACAGCTGGCTCAGGGACACCTCACTCATCAGAGCTCATTTCCCCCAGCTGAGAGAAAGTCGAGCCAAAAAACCTGGCACTGCCAGTCACATAATTTCAGCTTTAAATAATATAACAACTGCTTCTGGTAGAACAAAAGCTGTTTTTATTTGTTTCCTAAAAGTTAAGAAAATAATAATTAACTGAGGCAACTGCTTGTATGATGGAATCTATGCTTCTGATACAGTAATAGAGCTTTGCTAGACATTTAAGATAGATGAGTTGTAACCACCCTTTCCTCCCTCCCCCCTCACCACACGTCCATTTTTACCTTGTTCTTTGCTTCTCTTCACTGTTTTCTTCTACCTTTCTCCTTGCGTTTCCCAGGGTTGCAATAGGGTGTAGATTATTTTGGAAAGTTTCCAACAGTGTCCCCCAAATTTGTTGCATTTAGTTCTTTGTCACTATTTAGCTGCTCGTTACATAAGTTCCACTCAGCAAAGCAAACTAAAATAAAATCAAATAAAAGGGTCTGAGCACTGTGGTTGCTGTACCTTGGTTTCCTTGGAAAGGAAGGCTGCCACCAAGCCAGCAGCTTGTAACCTCTCTTAGAGAAGAGATATGCCTAAACTTGAACAGGTTTTAAAATAAATTTGTTTTCTAAGCTGTTTTAGCTAACAGTTCAAATTCAAATCCATGTTAAGTGCTCAACATCATCATGCTAATGTAAGATCCTCTTTCAGGTACATTTTCATTTCTGAGGCTCTCAAAACATTTCCCTTTCCAGAGCTAGCACTGAATACAAGTTCATAGGAAGAGTGCTGGCAGTCCGACCATTAAGAGCCAAAGCCTGGCAGGTCCTTTCACTGGAAGGGTTGTTGGCTTACACAGGTGAGAACCCAGGCCTAAATGTTCTATCAGTAGGCTGAGAGAAAGTGAGATGTTTTGCTGAGCCTTCATCTACAGTGCAGCAGTGGCAGGTTACCAAAGCAAGGCAGGTGGTGGGAGTTTCACTTTGCAAGCCAAGTATCACATACATGTATGTAGTTGTAACTCAGCATTTAAACATTCTATCAAGCTTCAACTCTGAAATTAAAAAGCACAATTACTATATTTTTTCCATTGCGATAGAAAAAACATGACATACTACTAAGAAATAATAGCAATGCATCCTTCAAATTGCGAGCAGATTGCAAGCAAATAGAAGAAACGGAGTCACATTTTTGTATGAAAATATAGTTATTTCTAAACTAATGGATAAATAGAACAAGACGCACTACAAGTGCTGTGCCACAGATGTCACTTTCGCAGAAGTTCATCAGCAAAAGAGCGCGATAAAAGGGAAAGTATAGGCACTCAATTTCCATTTCTTGTACAGTCATCTTTGCAATGTAAACATCCTGGAGGATCTGGAATATTTGGGATCAGACATTATTCTTCTTTTTAAGCACACTAAGAGGGAAGTACTGTTTGAAAATCAAGGGTGCAGCTTGGTCTTCAAAGCTTTCAGGAATTTCTGCATTTTTTTCTACTTGCCAGCTACTAAAAGGGAAAGGTCAGATCTGCAAGTGGTGTAAACAAGCATAGCTCTGTGAGGGCTTTGAGCTTGTACCCATTTACATCACATGGAAATTACATTTCTCGCTTCATCTGTGAATAACTGTGCATGTATATATATATATATGCAAGTGTGTGGTGGATACATACTATATAGAAAATGTATGCTTTGATCTGTCAAAATAAAGATATATATTTGAGAAAGGAGATAGAACATGGAAATTATACACTCTGCATTTACTTTTCAAACTGAAAGTTAAGGGAAGGAAGCATTGTTTATGCTCAGGGAGAACCTGGTGATTTGTACATAATAACCTAAAACCAAACTACCACATGAAAAATTTAACAGCTCTCTGCCATGGTTAAGAGGCCCATACTATGACCTGCTAACTTTTATATAAATAATTACTAGGCAGTGCCATAGCCATCATGGATTGCTACTTTAACAGCCTGGACCCTGGTGCAACAAAGCACTTTCATTGGCTATCTTTAAGCAACTGAATAGCCCCCTGGATTTTTGCAAGCTCACTCACCTGCTTAAAATTAACCATATATTTAGTCTGGTGCCTGCACTGAACTCCATCAGTAATCAGCAAGGCACTTCAACCTGTGCATAAAGCAGCTGCTTCTATAGGGCTTACGCACAGGCTTAAATACTTCTCTGAGTGAGGACAGTGTGGTTTGATGCTGCAAAATCCTGATTGTCTTAGATGTAATCCTGCAGAGCTTTTAAACAAGTCTTTTGTAGCCTATGCATGAAAACCAGTCAGATTCAGCATCATTTATAAGTTAAATCACACTTCCAAACATGGTGGTAAGACTGGGCCAGGAGAAAAATATTGAATATGGAGAATGTTAATCTCCCAAATATACTACCTTCACAATTTGTTCCACAAACGTTGTTCAGTTTAAATTTTTCAGCACTGTGGTTTAGACTACAACGTGAAAAAAAGACTTGATATACTTTGTGAATGCAGTGATGCCTCAACCAAAACAGCATTCCAGTCCCCTGCTCTGAGCCTTGCATGCCCAGGCAGTCAGTGACAAACTTATTTGCTACATCATGGGCAGCAGCAGCTGTGCTGCTGTGCACCGGGGGCTCACTGTGGCTCCTCCTTGTCCAGAGGGGAGGCTGTGGCCAAGCAGCTCAGGGGATGCTAGGAATGAAGGTGATGGCCAAGCACCTGCTCCAACCAAGCTCTAGCTCGTATGCTTGCAGCTATGCATCTCCTTGCACCTCTTCAGAAATCTTAAATTAGGAATAAAAAAAAAAAAGAGAGATTTTTTTCCAATGCAGACAGTTGCGTGCTCTCTTCTTTGCATCTTTGCAGACAGCTAGGAGTGCACGGCTTTCTTGCTCAGCTTGTTCTGCTATAACAAACTGGTGCCTGTGCATGGAAGGTAGAAAAGTCAGGAGGAGAAATATCTATCTTTTCTTGTGGCCAGAATAGGAGGAAAAAATACAACAAAAGAGGGAGGAAAAAAAATCCCAGGCTTGTGTGGGCCAAGTGTCTAAATGGCATAAATCCTGTCAGCTGACTACAGCATAACTCATTTTTAATTAGTTTGTGGCAAATAGCGCTATTTGTGCCAGGCTGCACAACTGTGCTGTGTTCCTGAGGAACCACACTGACAGCAGAAACAAATGAATCCCTGCAAGAGTCCCCTTCTGGAAGCTCACCATCAATATCCCTCATTTAAATTGCGTGCTGGGTATCCTCTTCTGTGAGACTGCTTTTCTATCCTAGCTTGATTTTTTTCCCCTACTGCCTGAAATATAAATGTAAAAAATTGGGGACTTTTATCTTATAAATATACCTGTTGATTAATAATACAAATCAAATTGGGAGTGATCAATGAAATATTTACATATCCAAAAGCCTGACCTAGATTGCCTGCTGATTTTCTGCGGACGGGACTGCATTTTTCCCTCTGTTCAAACAGACTTTCACCTTAATGTAGGCTGTGATTCTGCTGCGCTGAGACCTACAGCCTTTTCCAAATAGCAGCGTTCTAATTAATTGGAGAAATCCTGCTACAGAGGGAACCTGCAACCTAGCCATATGGATATGAGAAGATATTAAATTATCTCAATTCTGGAAGTTATTGATTGTCTATTAGCAACAGTGGGCTAATGGGGAATCAGTTATTTTGACCATTAGAATTACTATTTGGGAATGAAACAATGTGTTTTGGTTTTGCTTTTTTTTTTTTTTTTTTGTCCTATGAAATGGCACTGGTAACATTTGCAGAATCAAACATCAAATTAGCTACACATGCTGCTTTATCTTTGTCTTTTGATTGTGTTTCACAGACAAAAAAAAAACCCCAAAACCTTTTAATGGCCACTTCTACCAATATTATAGGTATGGCCATTAACATTTTTCTCTTTATAAAATCAGTGAGAAGAAAAAGCAGAGTTGTGCTTGTAGTCATGAGCTTAGCCTTGTCATTCAGGGATATAACTTCAGCTGCAAGCGTTACATCCATTATGCAGCAAATTCCTTGAAATCTTAAGAGAGGAACAGCACCAGAGGGCACAGTCACTGCAGTGCCATTACCTCCTGCCTGCTCAAGCTCTCCCTTCTCTCAGTCCTTTCAGCCACTGGTTACTCTCCTTTTGCATTCGTCTACATAAGATAAAAAAAAAGAGCTGATCAGTTTTTTCTTACGGCTTTACCCATAACCAGAAACTTGTTTCTTATCAAAGCATTTATATATATGAAATATATATGCTATACGGCATATATATTTTATATACATATATAGCAAAACATAGATTAAATAAGAAGATCCACACAGCACAGTACACATGAAAAACATAATTCCATAATCCTGTGCTTAAACTTAAGAACTGCATGGATGTCTAAATCCTTGTTAGAAAGCAAAAGTTCATTTTCATCACTTGTTGGGTTTTAGCTGTAATTCAGGTTTAAAACATTTGCTACTGCTGTTCTAGTACCAGGTGCTAAACTCTCTGAAAGAATTGCCAACGATAGGATTCTAGGGAAAGGAGAGGTCTGAGCACGGTGAACCTTTCTGGCAAGAAATGGATAAAATTTGCTCTGAAAACAAAAAGAACAGGAAGGGAATACATGTTGAAATCCACAGAAAAAATAATGTACGTCCCTCAGTCCCAGTAACTGGTCTTCTTTGGCACTTGAGAACGATCACAAGTAGTTTGCCTTTTTATTCATATAGAACAAAATTTACAAAGTCATTCATACATTTTTGTTTTTTTTTTTTTCTTTTGTTTTTTACTGACTTCGAAAATTGGGAATATTCAAAATACACTTTTACCCCACTTCATTCTTTCATTATTTACACTTATATACAAGAAAAATGTAAGAGTTTCTTTGCTTTTTTTTTTTTTGTTTGTTTTTAATTTTGTATTAAAAAGCTCTGCTGGTTGTGTTACTGTTTGTTTTCATCAAATGGATGTTCCGTGAGAGGGCTCCATTGCTTCTGGAATGACTCCCCCCGGCACAGACTGAAATGACATAGGGATTGGGGTTTTCACGGGGCTCTGACGAAATAGTCCTCCATTTGGCGACCTGTGTTTACACTGTATGGAGGGCATGGTGGCCGAGCTGCTCAGGGGCAGTGGCAGGTTGCTGCCAGAGGCAGCTGTGAGTGTCCTGCTGGCACCATGAGTTGTCTGTTCTGGTAAAAAGGTGGTGACAGAAAGTTGCGTGTTCTGGTATTCGCGTACCGGCTCCAGGGTCTGAGCTGGTTGCATGCCACCGATCTCCAAGGCTGAGATCTCGATGGACGCTGGAGAGATCTGCTTGTGGGCTATATCTTCATCGATTAAACTGTTCATGCGTCTATGGACCTGCTCCAGGTTCACTTCTTTATCCTAGTGAGGAAGAGAACAGAACAATCACTCCAAACGCAACCACCTTTTGTGTCCCACCCCTCCCCCTTTTCTACGTGATGGGAATTGGTGTTTACTCGTTAGATTGCTTTGATGTCATCTGTGCCTATGCAAAACCTCAAATCTCTCCAACGCCTCCAACTGAGAACACGTGCTGAAGAAAATGCCAGTTCAGTTTCAACCTGCAAAGCCCACTTAGGTTCTCAGTATGAAACTCCCTGAAGATAAAACGATGTCTCAGCCAATACATCTTGTAGGCCCAGTACAGCTTAGCACTCTCACATAGCTGAAGCACACTTTCTGAAGATTACAGCAGTGTAATACTGTGCACAGCTTAGCTGGCTCCAGAACATTTGCTTCAATGCACCAAAATCTACCAGCCAGGACTTATGGTGGTGAAGAAATTTTCCTTAACCAGCAGGGAGCACTGTGTCACCTACCTGGCAAGATCCATGGACCTCCCAGAATGGCATTAAGATGGAGACCTGCTCTTGGAGTCCTGGCAGGGGAGCATTCATTTGTGAACTGAACAGTTGTGGGATCAGCTACAAGCTGTCTGTCGCTTTGGCATCTCATCTGGTAAAAGTTTACATCTGTTTTCAGTGTTTGGGAAAGCAGCCCCAGTCTTTAGGAAATGCATCACTGACTGTCCTTGAGAATGAGGCATCTGAGGCTCCCAGAGTGGTCTTGTCAAGGGACTTTTGGCACCAACTGCCAGCATTTTAGCTTCCCAGAGGAAACAAGGCCAAAAAAGTTGTCTTTAAAACTTGAAGTAGCAAAGACCTACAATGGGCTTTTATCACCTCAGTGCAGCATGCAGGATGTCCCAAATGGAAAACAACCAAACTGGCAGAGTAAAGCCAACCACCTGGGATGTTATATGACTGAATTTTAATAGCTAGCAGTCTATAAAATAAAAAGGTATTGTATCATTTCTCTATATGTCACAAAGCACAGCTGTGCAGTTACAGCTCTTTGATGCAAGTGTAACATACTGCAGACTAGCAGCAAAGTATCTGTAAAAGCCCAACAGTCCTGGAACTAACGGCATCCTCTGGTCTGACAAACTACACGGTGCTCTCAGAGAAAGCCCAGGCCAGGAAATGGGACTACCCGATGTGTCCCAATAATCACAGAATCATCATAGAATCATAGAATGGCCTGGGATGAAAAAGACCACAGGGCTCATCTAGTTCCAACCCCCTGCTATATGCAGGGTCGCCAACCAGCAGAACAGGCTGCCCAGAGCCACATCCAGCCTGGCCTTGAATGCCTTCAGGGTCGGGGCATCCACAACCTCCTTGGGCAACCTGTTCCAGTGCCTCACCACCCTCTGTGTGAAAAACTTCCTCCTAATATCCAACCTAAACCTCCCCTGGCTCAGTTTAAAAGCATTGCCCCTTTCCTATCACTATCCCCGACTGCCCATAGCTCAACATGTTCCTAGATGGTTAAACACAACACCAGTAGCCTTAAAGAAGCTGTTGTTCATGCCAAAAGCTAGGCTCTGGGAGTAGAGAAGAATGAAGGGTTGGTGCCAACCACCCCACATAATCTTTTACCATTATGTTTCAGGTGGGGCACAGTGAATTATAATATTATTCTGATGTCATTCACTGCTATGCAACTTTACCTTCACCCTTAAATTGACAATCAAGTCAACCCCAAAGCCCTTGATTCCAGACAGTGTCAAATACAGATTTGATTGTACGATTTAAAATGATTTAAAACCACTTCTATGTTTTTCAAGAACAATTGGATTTGGTGATCTTTGTATGGATTTGGAAATGAATTAGTGTAACATGAACCCAAACCTCTGAGCTTATGCTAGGTCTCCAGTGAGTTCAGCTGGAGTACAACTGTTCAACAATTACACAGCTGAGCAGCAGTTTGCACCTCTCTTCTTAATCAGTGGAAAAATTATTCCTATTTCATTTACATAAAAAACCGACCAAACCCCCAGTGCTGCTCTCTGGGACTCTGGGGATATTATCTTCCTCACCAGAGAAATAGATAGAAACTTTTTTTTTTTCCTTAACACTGTTTTTTTCAGATAGATTCTCTAATCAAATAATTTTGAGTTAGATAAAACGAATGGAAAATAAATAAAAAAAATAGTTTATGGCAGAAAGGAACCAAAAAATACTTGATAAGATAGTTGCTGCAGCTACGTCAAGTCTTCACCAACCTGACACATTACACTCCTTATTCTCTAAGTCAGACAATGCTCTAAGCTGACCATAAAATCCACTGCAAGGAAAATTAAGCATCTCTGATATAACGGCCAGAGTACATGGATTTAATTTTAGAATTTATGTAGCTCCGTTTCTTGAAATAAAATTGTGTACTGGGGGCAAGTGCTGGAGGTGTTCTTAGCATTATCCTCAGCTGGGAGTAAGGGCTCAGCCGCTCTGGGCAGCTTCATTTTGTACAGTGTCTGGCTGTGCACTTCTGTATTTTTCTCATCTGTCTGCCAATGAAAGATTGCAGCGAAGTTCTGCTTATCTGCAAAGTTCAGCTACTGTAGTATCTGATGGCATCTGTGCCTAAGGAAGCAAACTCCCCAAGGCCCATTAAATGCTGCTTCTTTAGGTATCCTGTACTACATGTCCTTCTCCCCAAAACCCTGCATGCTTGTATTTAGACTCCTAGGTTAGCACTTTAGTTATAGAACCCATATTCTTGCCAATACTCTCCTACGAGAAAAGCAAATGTAGAGTAATCAGACAGAAGCTGAGCAAATACAAGAGGAAAAATATTTCCTAAACAAAGCTTTGGAGAAGAGTTCATGACTCATTTGCATTTTTATGAGCTTTTATCTAATGCTTTCTTCAGATCATTTCAAGTGAAAATATACATCAACATCTTATACTTGTATTTTCTGATTGCAAGCACATCCTCAGTGCATTCCATCCTGTTTTGCTATGGGAACAAAAATAATGCAACAGGGATAACTAGCCAAGCCAGAGAGAACAGTACAGTACTGCTATTTGTAACACGCAGCTATTAACTGTTTGGTGAGGAAAAACACACTGGTAAAGGAAGCACACTCCTACAGATCATAAAATTCAAATAATTCATCCTTGTTATAACATTTATCTCTTTGAAGATGTAAAAATAAAGATGGGATGATCCTACTAGACATGTAGTTCAGATGAGAGGGGATATTAATGACCATCCTGCTGGGGAGGTGCCATTCCACTAGTCTAAGGGGACAACTGTCCCTTCCTCCCTATGCACAGTGCAGCCCTGGAACAGCACTGTTCATAAATGGTGCAATTGCAGCTGTTTATGTTTCATAGTATAAACACGTGTTTAACCATGCATAACATTTTGCTATCAAGAAAACTGTAATGCCTGCACACAAATATAACTTTTGATCTACTACAAAACACTTTATAATTAAGTAAAGAAGGAAATGCTCGGGATTTTACTAGGAGGTTGTAAGGGAGGGATTTCATTTGCCTGTTTCTAACTCTTTATTCAGCGAGGACCACTCTCTGGCCTTACTAAGATAAGAGAAAAAAATAAATAAAAGCTTCAAAGAGCTCAGAAGTTCACATTATTCCTTCTTTCTGTTGCTAAAACAGGATGATCATAAAGGTTAAGGAAAACAACTCTCTCTCTTAGGATTAATAAAAATACACTGTAAAGGTTCTTCGTTTTTCTTTGCCTTATCAGATGAAGAGCAGCTAAATAACCAAATGTCAAGCTTTGTATGAAACTATCCTAATGCTGAATGAATGATTTTTCAAGTGCTTTTTTAAAAAAAAAAAACAACAACTATCCAAGATAAAGATTAGAAGCACATGAAAAGATTAGTTTGTCCTTACATACTAGAAGACTGCTTTGAATCCTGGGATTTCTGGAACAGAAGTGTTGTGAGTGTTTTATTTGACAAGTGAAGCTTGCAGAATTTGTAAATTCTGTAAAGCTCATCTTTCTTTTTCCTTTATTGATCTCCTAGAAAATTCAATAACAAAACATATGCTATGGAAAAGTAACAAGATAAATGGAAAGGGTTAAGAGGTAATAAATCCAAACAAACAAATCTTAAAAGTTATGACATTCTGCTCCCTTGTCAGCTCAGTGTTCTTCTCTATTTTCAGCTTTGTAATTCTCATTAAGTATGAGGCATTTGATATCATTTAAAGCCCTTTGCTGGCATTTTTTCCTCATTTCCTGAAACTTTGTGATTTTAATTCTGAAATGGTAATGCGGCACTCCAAAAGACTTCGAAACTTTCCAACGCTGTAACTGTTCTCTATTATTGTATTTCTCCATGGCAAAATTAACGAATCAAAAATTGCTAAATTAATATAAATTAGCAAATTGAGGCTTGGAGCTGGGGAACAGCAGAAGAGCTGGCTCTGGCAGCTGGATGGGAAGAACCTGAGCCACAGGGGGGTATGTGTGCCCATTTTCCAGCACAGAGCCTTTTCTGGCCCAAAGGCAGCCCCTTGCTGTTCCTCATCACAAATGTTTCTGGCTTCAGCTTGTTCCCTTCCAGAGATGAATGAATGAGCTCAAAACTTAATGCTTCAGTGTCTGAGGCAGACACATAACGGAAGGTTCCTTCTCTTTCTTTTCTTGTACTTAATATGCCAAACTTAGTTAATATTATGAATGTAACCTCTACAATGTTTCATGCCAATTCAACTTCATTTTTTCACATATAGCTACGTTGGATAAATGCTTATGGTTCTGTTGCCAAAAGGAGATCAAATATTTTTCCTCTGCTGTCTTCATAATTCTATTTGCAATATTAATGTTATGCTCCAAGTAGATAAGTTAAAGAAGTTAATCAGTGAAGGGGAAAAAAATACCTCATGTAAGGTAAATGAATTATAAACACAGGCTTATCCTTCTCCACATTAAGGAAAACAGCTAACCAAACAACGCTTCTAGTCAGGAAATTATCTCATTCATAAATACCAATTGAAATGTCATTCTTTTTCAATGAGTTTGAGTTCTCTAAGGGC